CGGTAAAACAGGCTCGAACTTGACGTCAATAAAACGCAACAAAACGCATATATTTGGTTGGGAACGTCGCATAGTCTCAGAAACAGATAATTATAAAATTCTAGTAACAAATTTCAGAGTCATTCTGGATAATCTTTTGTCTATAGCTAACTATGTAAGTCAACTCCACCAGCAATTTTTCAATCACGTTATTTTATCGTTAACAAAAGCACTCGTTTGCACTATCATCTGTAGCAGAATCAACGGATAAATTTATCTCATTCTGCAGATAGACTGTTTGTTGGATATTCGAAAATTGAATCCATTTCAGCATATATCAAAAAAGAAAGAGCAGGACTTCGTCGCTGGCACTGCATGCCAGAAAGAATTGTTTTCAAACTAGTTCTTTTGGTCAGATTGTCTATAGTTGGCGACACTCTGGGTTATTTGAAAAAGCAACTTTAGCTTGCTCCAGGAATTTCAAGCCAGAGTTGATTGAGATTCTCCAAAAATGGTGATTTGGCGCTTGCAAAAATGAGTTCCTCTCGCTCTGGAGAAAGGAGATTTTCAGTATCATCAGCAAAAATCTGGAATGCACTTCCTGTTGATTTTAAAAATTCTGCAACATGAGCCGACATGCATACGACAAGCGTCTCAAGGACCATATATTCAACAAACTCAAACAAAGCTAGGGCCTCCAAAATTTTTTAGAAGCACTCCACAAATTTTGCAGTATGATACAATTAGAAAAAAATAATTTGCCAAAATGTATTTGGAATATAAAATTGATAGTTAGTAAGAATTAACCTAATTTTCTGGCAGAGATTTGTCTTAGGATTAAGGCAGAACTTACATTCTTTGCACTGTGGTATGTACAAAGGAATCACATGGTCCCCTTGGTGGTCATTCAATGATTATTTTATTTTTGTGATTCATTTTGAAAAATAGAAATCATCCTAAACTCATAAATATAACCAACAATTCTCTGATATATTAATACCTCAATAATGCCCACCAACAAAAATGATTTATTTTTTAAAACAAATCTAAATTAATAAACACATAAACACACTGCTTTATAGTTAAGAAAACATAGATAAAAAATAACAGAACAGGAGTAAATAATAATAAATAATAACAATAATGTCATTTATGAGCGCCTTATGCATAGCATCAGAGGCGCTCCGATAAACAAATTTCAGCACGGTCACCAAAGGCCTGTTCAAACAGATGCTGCTTCAATCGCTTTTTAAACGTTTCTATTGATGATTGCTGACGGATGATGAGTGGCAAACTGTTCCATATTGATGGTGAGCAATGTGAGAAGCCTTTATTAACGAGAGCTGATGTATTGACTGGTTGATGCAGTTGCAATGATGACGGCAGACGAAGGTGATGGCGATGATTAATAAATACATTAATAAGTGGAAAGCGATTTAACAGCAATTGACGAACGCCAAGAAATTCCAAAATTAAAAGTTTATCGTAGAAGATAACACGGGTGTAAACACTACATAGACATAAACATGCAAAATGTGGATAAAGAGTCAAATAAATAAAAATTGAAATACAAGCCGGCATCATCATTATAATGTAAAATTAGATATTCAGAAATTAAAGCAACAATATTTTTTTAAAAACTAAATTTTGAATATTATCAACCAATTTCGAATTCAGTAACCCCTTCCCCGACACTCTCCACAATTCCACCCCCTTCATGCCCCAATATAACAGGAAAGACACCCTCTGAATCATGACCACCCAATGTATAAGCATCTGTGTGACACACTCCTGAATGTAATATCTGAAAACAATCAGACATGTTGAATATTTTTTTCAACAGTCAATTTGCTTTTGTCAAATATAGAAGAATAACTACTTTGATTCTGACTTCACCAGCTTTCGGTGGTGCTACAGAAACTTTTTCAATTTTCAGTGGTTCATTTGCTTGCCAGGCAACTGCAGCCAAGCATTCAATGATCTAAAAAAAATTATAAATTTGAATTTGTTTTCTTTGCATGATGCTATATTCAGCATAAACATATAGTGAATAAGTATAGTAAGAAATATCAAACCAATATTTAAAGTTAAATTTGCACTTCAAGAATTTTGATTCATAACATTCACTCTAACTTTTCAAGATAATTCAGAGTGCACACTAAAATTTGAAAAAGATTTTAGCAAGCAACATTTACAGCAGCCATCTATATTACAATTAACAAAAAAACTATTGATCCACTGTGATTGTTATTCATCACCAGCCAGTAACAACAAAATGTCTATAGAAGAAAGGTGTAGCTTGTTATTTATTAGTTCTGGCCTTCTCAATTTAAAGTTTGCTGATTTTTTTGCTAGCCATAGTCTTTTGACACCTCTCCATGGTCATCAAATATTATTATTATTTCATTAGTATATAATTTACAGTCTCTGGTTTTTTATTTTAAAAATACAGATAAAACAACATAAAAATTTGAATAGCTACAATAGTTTTATAAACATGAAAAACTTGTGGAAAAAAAACCAAGCTCTAAATTCTAAATACAAATTTTTTCCATTAAATTCAAAACACTCATCTTTACATTACTAGGCATGAATATTTTTGGTAAAGCTTAAATTTTATAACACAAGATTAGTGCAACCTAGCATTACCAGCATGTGTAACCAGCACGTGTAACAAATATTTGAACATTTATAGCCCTAAAAACGCACCCTTGTTAACTGATACATGGTAAAGTGAGATTTGCCATATTAATTTTTATTTTATATTTTATTATTGGTAAATATAAAATTATAAATTATACAATAGTTTGCCAGGGATCTTAAAAGTTTATTTTATGATCTAGTTTCTGTATGATGGTGTCAGTTTTACTATACTATAGTCTGTAAAGTAATTACTAATTAGTAATACAACATTATTAAGGGTGAAAAATCATCCATGCACATTGCATTCTAAATAAAAATAATTTATTTTATAAAAAAAATAATATATTTTATAAAAGCAGCCGGTGACACAAAATATTGGATTTGAGTGTTTCAAACTCTGAAGTTCATTGTTTTGAGATTATTTTATCAATTGATTGCCGTTGGGCAGCATTTTAACCTTTCCAACGCAGGACGTCATCTTCTTGTCAACGAAAAATTACCACCTGACAGAATCAAAGTCCAGACAAGAGTTCGATTTGATTTTACAAAATATCAACTCTATTCGTCTTGCGCGGAAACAAAAACATAAACTGTGGGAAACCTTTAATGTTTGCGAATAAATTAATTTATTGATTTGATTTTTATTCTATATGTATGATTTGCAAGTTGGTTTATTTTAAAAAATGGTTAATGTAAAAAAAATTAAGTTTCAATTTTTTCAAACTAAATATACTCTATTGTGGAACAGTTTCAGAAAGACTTTTTTAATGATTTGATTCTCATAGTACGAATCTTTGCGCAAATAACTATCAGATTACTTAATAATTCTATCAATCCGCTTCTATTCTATATATACATACATAATATATATATGGCTTCGAATGAATCATCTTAAATCACATATTTAAGATGATTAATTATTTAGTCAATTATTTAGTCACATCTGTGACTAAATAATTATCTATCAACCTTTCATCAACATTTTTTTCTGAAAATAATAAAACAAATTTGCCGAATTTATTTGATTCTATATATATATATATGATTACACATTTTGAGTTTTTAAATAATTTTCAATATTAAATTTTGTTTCAAAACATTGTAGAAAATTTAAATAATTGATTCATAAAATGATAAAGTTAGATAATAGTTAACTTAACTTTACAAATGAGTGATAAAAGAGAGTTCGCTATAGACAAGCAGACAAGCCAACGAAACATAATCATTCATGAATGTTCAAAGCAAAACGCAGCATAATGGATGGAATGCAAGTTTCAAAAAATGCTGAATGAACTAGGCCAGCAAAACAATAGAAACATGTACACGATACAAAACAATCAGCAATTTAACGCTACTTTAGTTAAAAAAACTTAAAAAACTAAACTGGAAAACCGATAAAAAATAAATTCAACCTCAATTAACAATGACATTGAAATTGATAAATTATAAATAAAATAATGGATATAATTAATAACAGATCATTTAGGTAGAACATAGTTAGCTGGAAAGAGGCCAGTTTCCGTCTGCCCTCTTCTAATTACTGAACCCTTAGTCCATTGAGAATCCACCTAAAAAAAAAGTTTAAAAAAAAAATTTATCATCACCAAAATTATGCGTTAGACATTCCAATTTTAATTATTTTTTTTCAGCGCTTTCACCAAAAAAGTGCAATGGTTTAACAGAATGATTTCACGAAAATTTAGGTTGCACAAGTGCAGTGGTCACCATGGCGTGTGGTCACCATTGCTTCCATGTTGAATTAATCAAAGACAAATCTGTAGCTTATTAAATCAAAAAGTTCAAAAATTAAAATAAAAAGTTTTATGAGTTCAACAAAGCCATCAATGAATAAGTTATTAAACATATTAAACATATGTAATTAAACAGTAATTACTTCCTCAAGGACTGTAATAGTTTCACCCTCATAAATAGTTAGTTCCTCTGGAGATCTTGATTTGAAATCATACAAGGCAATCACTTGCTTCTATGAGTGGTTCACAAAATTAAATATTATAAAAAAAATGAATAATTCATGAAAATTAAAATGCCATACAATGTTGTGAATTTTGTGTAACTCATAACTTTATCACAAACGTCATTCCAAATTAAATTTCAATGAAAAATTAATGACTAATTTGGCATATCAGTATTACCATAAATATCTTAGGCAATTATTTTAGGTAATGTACTAAATGAAAAAAAATATATAATTTAAAATTGACTATTATTACCTTTCGCTATATTTCAAGCTTTGATTTTTTTCAAAAGTAATAAAGTAATATTATAAAATTAATTTGCCAACTTAACTGTCAAAGTATCAACCAATGATGACGTCGTTAAAGGTTAAAAAAAGGGTCAATCTCTCTGGTGTACTTGCTTCAGAGATTTCAACGACAAAACACACACGGAGCGTAAATGAATGCAAACATAAAAATCAAGCATCACACAATTAGTACCAGCAACACTTCTTTTAAGTTTTAATGTTATATAAGTAATAAATTATTTGTGTCACTACTGGAGTCTGTAATTTGTTCACGTTAATACAATTTGTCTAATGTTGATTAAGAAATACTCATAAATGATGAACTAGAACAATAATGCTTGCTTCATTATGTTAAAAATCTTAAGCAAGCTATTAATTGAGCATTAACCCCAGCCAAGAAAACACTTACCTGAAAGGAATCTTCTCTTAATGGTACGTTGCCATTGTTACTAACTGAATTCTTTTTGTAATGTTCTACTAATTTGTTGACGCTGTTGAACCTTGGAGCACTACTCCACAAAAAATATCTGCCACTAGGATCTCTCAGTATTTTGAAGTGTTGTACATCTCCTATACTAAGTGTTTCATTGTTTGTACATTTTATTCAACAAATAAAAGTTGAAAGTTTAATAAACATCAATGTTCAAACATTTTCACACCACCAATGAGCAACAAGGCATAAAAATACAGGACATCAGTTGTATGTTTTTTCAATAAATAAATTTCTAGCTATAAAATGAATTTATGATTGTTGAAAACACATGATGCAGGAAAAATTATGTAGAAACATTATGAAAATTTAATTTAAAATTTAAATTTAAACAAATTTAAATGAAAATAAATTATAAAGCAACCATGCTAACTTCACAGTCAAAGATATTTCCCCAACAGTTGATTCACTTGGTCTAACCAAAAAATTACATTCATGATTCTGCTTGGTAGCAATTAATTTGGATGCCTGATCTTTCGACACAACCTTGTACCATCTTTAAAATAAAAAAATGTTAAAAAGTTGAAGAAAGAAGATGATATAATTTGGTAGAAAGATGTTGGCAACTTCAATACCAGACATTCTAATGACAAACAAGTTAATTAATTATATACTGTTTTATTTCCTTATTATATGTTTTATCAATATTAACATTAATATTATTCACTCTCCAATATTCATCAGAGGACAGACATATTATAAGTGGTTGAATGCTTTGTTGAACCAAAGCATATTGGTCAATATGTACTCGTCTGCATTTGTGTAAATCCCAACACTCTGATCCTAACAAGATAAGGCAAGCCAAAAACGTGCATCAGAAATTTTAAAGGACCCAACACTGACTCCATTTCAGTGGATCTCTTTTTCATTTATATATCAGCACAGTAGTGCTGTTCCATTCCACTGGTAGTATCAATTTACTCCACATCTCCCGATAGATGTGTAAGAGGGCTCTGAAGCCTGCCCCACCAGATGCCTTGATGATATCATTTGTAAGTCCAGACGAACCAGCCGCTTTACCCCCTTTCATTGCCTTCAACGCATCCGTAAGCTCCTCAGCTGTGATGTCCTGAATCAGTCCTTCCACCGTAAGTGCATCAAAGTTCTCCCCAATAGGGTTTGTTTCATTCAATAACTGACCAAAGTAATCCTTCCAGTGATCCTTCATTTCATTTTGCAAGGTTATTATGGTGCCTTTATTAATCTTTATGCATGTGGAACCAACTATATCCTTTTTCAGTCTTTTGGCCTGATTTGCTATTTGATAGAGTGACCGAATTTGTTTGCCTTACTTCGCTTCTGTGCTCTTTGATTGGTATGTCTTTCGATCTTCATCAGTCTTCGTCTTCTGCCATTGTTTGAAAGCTGCTTTTTTTACTGGCAATAACATTCTTAGAACTTCCTCCATTTAGTATTCCCCAAATTTGAGAAAATCATAACTTAGGTTCCTCAATGTTGGTCTGGCATACATATGATTTGGTCTATGTTGTTGAGTAAAAACATTATATTTGTTTATAGTTATGCAGTCTTCAGCTAACATATTCTTTTGATATCCTGCTGAGTTTATAGGAACAACAAATTCAAGGTAAGTTGTACATTAACAGAAAAATTATTGTTCTTCAAATAAACTTTTTATTTCTTCATGTTTTATTCCAATTTCAATTAGATTAACTTTACATTTTCAACTAAAGCTCTGAACAAATTAAATTTTCATGAACACACTTCACCAAACATCTTTTTCATTATTTGAAACCTAATAGAAGCACTTGAATTTAACAATCAAATACACTTGATTCATTGATTAATGGGTCTTTATCTTAAAAAGAACCATCATAAAATAATACTCTATAACAAGAATGCAACTCACTTTGGTGGCTCAAACGTCAGATAATTTGCTGGGACTATTCCTAATTTACCATTCAACTCGGCATTGTACCACTGTCCATCCCCTTCATTCAGTATCTGAGTAGTTATTTTTAGGTAGAAAAACAAAAATGTAAGCAAAATAAAAAAAAATACAATTTTAAGAAATAATTTAAAAAATCTCATTTGAAATCTAAATTTGAAAAAATCAATTCTTATATACCATAAATTTTGCCACATATAACAAACATTATTACCTAAAAAAACTGTATGTAGCACAAATTTTTATGAAATTTTTATAAAATTTAAAAAGCCCACAGTTTCAACTAGCATTTGTTTGAAAATGTAACAAAATTTCAAGGTGTATATTACGCATATCAGACTTGGACAAAAGAAGTTTCATGCTAAAAGTAATACTAATTGGTGTAAAAAGAATGTTAAATTATTAATGAATGTATGCATCCAACATCACTCACTGCCTTGTGAGTGATGTTGGATCATCAAAGGCTAGGCCCACCGCTTATAACTGTGGTTGCGTAAGGAAGGGCATCCTACATTAAAATTAGCCAATAAAATATTTATGATGACATTCGGTTTCATCATAGATAGCCAAACGGCAACCCCCGATCTCGGGGAAAATGTCGTCTAAACGTGTGTTGTTGTTGTTGTTGTTGTTGTATGCATACTAAAACTACTAAAAATATGAACATTATTATATTTACGTTTTTGCTTATAATTTTATCACCTACTAAAATAAATATATTTATATAATGAATATATATAATTCTAGACTCATTTCAACTAGCATTTGTTTGAAAATGTAACAAAATTTCAAGGTGTGCATATCAGACTTGGACAAAAGAAGTTTCATGCTAAAAGTAATACTAATTGATGTAAAAATTCAATTTTATTAATTCAAGAGAAGCTGTTAATGATATAATGTAATATTATTAAATATTATAATTATTATGTGCTTGGTTAGATAAGCATTTTATTTTCAAAGATGCCATTGTCCATTATTTTTATCATAATTAATATTTAAAAAAACTCCACTTTTTCTATTTCGTTTGTTAATGGTTGATGTGGTTGCTTGATTATGAGAGCTTGATTCCTTGGTTAATTAATTGTTTATTAACATAATTTATTAAAAATTAAAAAATGATTTTTGAGTTTTATAATTAATTTTTATTTATTATCAATTATATGGCCTTACATGCTCATGAAAATAAATAACTTTTTAATGTTTTAAGCAAACCAACTAAACCACATTTGCTGAACTAAATAAACTTTATTACCAGAGAAGAGACTGAATGACATCATGATGATGATGATCATGACTGAAATGATGGTAAGATAAGAAAAGAAGTAAGAATAGAAACATATACCATTATGATTATATTATTCTTTTATTCATTATTTTTACAATGATTAATTCAAAAGAAAAGTAAATGTTAAAAGATGAAAACTAAAGCTTTTTAAAGCTAAAATAAAAAGAAGAAAAAAAGAAACCTTTATGATATCATTCACGTGAAATGACAATTCGTCAGCATGTGAGGCAGAGTAATCATAAATTGCAGTGGCCTCCATTCAGCCAAAAAATTTAATAGTATAACAATTTTAAAATCATTAAAAACGAAAAAATCTTATTAGACGAGAGATATTAACTTCCTTCTGCACTAAAATTATTGAAACACTTATTCACTTTTAAAGATAAAAGATTTTATCCAAAGATATTGCAGTATATCTGCATTAAGGTGGTGACCATGGAATTTTAACTGGTATTGCCCCCAATCGTATCTTTTTCATTGAACTCTTTATTGAAAGTCAGAAAAATATGAATGAATGAATTTCAATGAATTTCACAAACAGATGGGTTTTGAGATCTGCTCGGAACTTCTTAAGTGATGGAGAAGTAGTTAGAGAAGGATGTAAAGAGTTCCGAAGAAAAGAGCCAAAAAAAGCAAACGCAGATTTAGCGTAAGAAGAGAGAATGAGAAGACGATCGCAAAAAATCAACATTGGAAATAATTATCAGGCACAAAACACCTGGTGTCCAACGTTAACACCGATATTTATGCTCCTCGTGTAAACTTCTTCATATATCTATTAAATCATGTCACTATATCACATATATGTCACTAAAAAAGCATGAGCAGATGGCACATCAAACCGATGAATAAATACACACAATATAAAACAATTTCATTTTCATTAGCATCTCATATTTCATAATGATTCTAATTATAACACGTCAACTCTAGAGATATTATATAGTAAAAGATTCGTTGGTATGAAACCACGGGTCTTGTTCCTAGAAAGATGATAACTGTATAAGAACGGCCACATTGTCTCCGCAAAAGAGGCATGTTTCCTAGTGCTCAAACCACTATTTAGCACAGGATTGACGAAAGCATGCTAGCAAGGAAGCTCACATACAAACAAATTCTTTGTGATCGCTTCAAAACAAAAAGGACAGCTTTAACTATGCATCTTCTCTTCCAAATATGGCAGTCTAAACTTTCTTATATTTGAATCTGCTTGATAAAATAAATCGCAATAAACTGTTCTTACTGTAAATTTTTTGATGTCTTCATCAGTTAGTACTAATCTCCTTCCAACAGACATAATACGGAACTTGTTGAGCCATCCCATATATTATAAAGTTAAGATGTTTCATTTCCTGCAGCATATTGGCTTATGTCCCACTCACTCTTGGATATATATAGTAAAACTATCCATGGTCCCGCATGATGTCTTCACTTGAAAATTCATATTGCTTATTGTTTTGCAAATATTAAAAAATTATTTCGTTATTTTGTATGTATGTGGTTTCAACAGTAGAATTTGTTTTTTGATCGAGCGTTCACTAAGAAAATTTTTGGTTCGTTGCTTAGCAAAACAGAATGCAATAAACATTTCAAACAGTTTTTTGGTAAATACAAATAAACGTAGATAACGAATATAAATAAATGCAAATTTCAAATGTCGAATAAGCAATGTTTGTCGAAAGATGTCACAGAATGGAAACAACTGCTCCCTCGGAAAGAATCCATGCAACACAGGTTAAAAACTTGTGCAAATGCTGACAGTTTTTTTTGCTCTCATACAATATAAAATGAAAAATTATATAAATTATACATTTATCTCTTTTTAATATTTAAAATGCTAACGACGGTTGTTGTGTAAGGTTTAATAAATAACAAACGCATAACCATTAGTCTTGTATATCTAGCATTATAACGTGTATCGTGTGGTATAATAAAAAATCTTCAATTGAATTAAATAACATTTACTTTTAACATCATACATAATAGGCAAATATACTCAAACCATTACATGCCAACATTTGTGAGTAATTTCTTTGGATAATTGAAAGGCAGAGTTGTCAATAGCAAATAATTGTAGTAGTACCAGTACTGTAGTACGGCAACGACATCGGCGGTGCCATATAATTAGTCAAAATGATATAGCTGCTTACTTTTCAAATGAAAGTTATTTTTGTAATTAAATTTTGCGTAGGACAAAAGAATTAATAATTTATTTTTACGCTGCATCGGCCATAGAATCATCGATCGAATAATATTTTACTTTTTCTATATTCTATTTTGCCATGAATTTATCGCTAGTCAAGAACCTGGAAAATTCGTGTTTCGTTATTTTCGGTTGAGTGTACGTTTCAGTTTCATTTAAAGTTTTTAAACCTCTAAGAACATGATGTTTAAAAACCAACATTTCAAAATGTTTACTCAGTCAACTATATCCAGATCGAATATTAATAAATAAAGTTACTCATACTCCTCCATACAACATTTCTGTTTATTTCAGCGTGACTTCGTTAGCAGCGAAGCAAAGTTCTTCAATTGCCAGTCATCGCGTTTAACAAAAATAAACATTCTTAATGTTACAAGCTAGCTAGCAAAATGTTACAATACAAGTATCGAAGATTTTTTTGTTTTATGAATTTTATAGTTTAAATATTGTAGATTTTTCTGCAATATTTCAAACAAATTTCTTGATTGTTTGTATGGGTAAAGAAATAAATGGTAATTGTGACTTTTGACGATTTATATATCACGCAAATATCGGTTGAGAAATGGAAATAGGGGAGGGTGGGGATGCTTGATACACTTTCCGTCCTAACGTAAACAAAATGTAATGCCCTTCATCATTTCATCATTAAACACTTTTTTAGCATTTAAGTTAGAGCTGGGTCTACTGAATAAGATTTTATAACCTCATGCAACATTGTGAGTCATTTTAGACGACAGTTTCAAAAGTTTTACAGGTACCTAAATGTCTCAACCATCCCTGCTACTGTACTCGTTGAGACAGCAGGAGTCATGCTTGAGACACCATTTAACTCATTGATATTTCAAAAGTTAATATCCCTTGCTTTTGTTTTATGGCTTGCAGAAGTTACCAGCAAGAAAACATTATTTTATGACATATTATTTAGAAAATATTATAGGATGAATTGTTATTAAATTTCACCAAAATCAAATAAAATTAATTTGAAAAAAATAAAGTTTCGACAAAATATTTATTTCAAATTGCACTTTTCACAAACAAAATTTTGTTCTGTCTTTGAAATACCAGCACAAGCAGTATGTGCCCATTCTTTATATTTTCCCTGGCATTTAATCCAGCTTTCACCATTTGTAGAAGAAGACCATGAAGAGCAACAATAAAGACACAGAGCATCATCATCATCACCATTATTTTTGTTGCCAGAATTGCTTGAAAATTTCAATTGCCTACGACTTTTCTTTTCACATTTTCCTTTTTTTTTCTGTTTTTTTGTCTTCTTTTTTCTTGTCTTTGAGAAATTTCATTTTTAATTGGAGTATCTGTTAAAATCCTTGTTTTACCTAGCCTGGGGTGTTAACCTTTCAGTTTCCTAGGTGGAGCAACTGGAAATGGCCTGATGTCTTCAGGTTTAAATATTGTAGCGATCTCATCAAGAACATTTTTGCAAGTTTCAATAGTGTTATTCAATTGGGGATTTGATGATTCACTTGATTTGTAGGCACTATCCTGCTGTGAAAAAACTTGATCTGTAGACTCTAAATTATTCAAACTGTTAGGATTCACAGCTTCACAATCCGTCAATGTTTCATCTGGTGCACCATTGAATCTATCAGTTACTTTGGTTTTTCGAATATGAGTTCGTGGCATGTCTTCCAAAATAAATATAATAAATTAAATAATGCTAATAAAAATAAATAAAAAAACATAAATAATTTGTTTTATTCAATTAATTTATCAGATAAATTAATACAAACCAACCTAAATTTATATTTACTGAAACTATATAACCAAAAGGTAATGAGTTATAAAGAACACATAATAATTAATTATTCAGGGTTGATTGAGATGTCTCATTCAACCCTTTAAATGATTGTCTCAACCATCCCCAACTGAGGTTTAAGTTATAAAAGTTCTATTAACTTTTTTATTGTCTCTGTTTAAGTGACAATATTATACGAGAAGAATCGCTAAATAAACAATAAAATTAATAATAGCAAACTGTATTTAAAAAAACAAAATTAATGTAAAATAAAACGAAAAAATGTGATCACCTAAATTTTACTTTCGAGGTCCAAAAACAGTTTTTTCAGTCCGGAAACTAAAAACGTGCATGAAATTTGATCCGTTTTTAGATAAACATAAATGACATGATATTCGACAAAGATAAACTAAAAGAGTACCCTTAAAGCGCATAATTTTCTTATTATTGACCTGTCCCATCCAACCCTTTGTCTCAACCATCCCCACTCTCCCCTACTTTCCATTCGTAGCTTTAACGGTGCTACATACAATTGCCTTAACACCTCTGCTAAAATGTTAAAATTTAATATATTTATTGAAAATTTGTTAAGAGCAAAATATGAATTCTGAAAGTAAACTTTTACTTAAAATATAATCGATTGAATCTTAAAAAATGATAACAATCAAGGTATTAGATCGCTGGTATAAACCATATCCTAACAAAGTTCGGGAGTATATACGTGTCCATGAAGAGGCGCCAGCAATCTCAATGAGTCACTATTATCAAGGCGTTCATTCACCTGAATTTAAGCCCAGAAACGATAATCCATATAAAATGAACCACTATCTAACGAAAGGAACAACAGTATCGAATCTGATACAAGTATATAATTTGTTTATGTCATGCTAAACAAACGTACAGATTCAGATTAACAAATTGTTTCCAGGCGAGAGGTCAGTACGACGCAGACTTTTTACTGAGGAAAGATTTCTTACATATTCTCATCCAACTGTCTCGAGGCAATATCTAAAACCAACATTACAGTTGCATGGACCTCTTCTGAAAAATGAAGCTAACGGTGTTAAATTTCCTCGTTTAAATACTTACAATATTATGTACAAACACAACGACAATTGCTAAACTTAAAGCTTTAATTTTTATTGTAAAAGTATTTTGAGTTAAAAAAAATCAGTTTGATATTTAATTTGTTTTGTAATTGAAGGGTTGCGTGATGGTCTAACTGATAAGATCGCCGGCTTCCGTTACTCAGTGACCAAATTCAAATGCGACAAAAAAAATCCTCGCTTATCACATGCTTATCACATACGCCGTTTTTCACATTTCATATACGCTGAATTCGTGTTGTCGGTTCCTTTGGAAGAGTATTACGGACTAATAATACCTTTAACATTTATTATTGATAAAAAACGACCGTAATTGTATCTTACGGTAAAAATCAAACTAATTTTAAATGTGTATGACACACGAAACCAAGAAAAAAATTTTTTTAACCTTTTTAAGAATGGTTTGCCACATTTATTGTTGTTTATGCTCCACACGTGAATAACCTATTATCGACCACTTCACATCCGATAATATATTTAATGTAAATAATCGATCGCACTATCTCCGCGTTTAAAAATTAAAAGTTTAAATTTATAGATAAAACATCTGCCGATTGCTCAGGCATTCTCTTTCCACAATTTTCTTGTTTGTTTTATAATTGAACGTGCAATTAAAAGCTGAAAATGAATAAATGTTTGGAAATACTCAAGTCCTGGTTAACTGAAAATCGGGTTAGCGTTATTTATTTATTTTAACATTTTTTAGAGTAGTTACTTAGATTTTATTTTAGATTTTATTATCAAGTAGGTTGCACGCTTTTTTAAATTTTTTTTATATAAATTATTTTTTCTTATAAATAAAGCAATATTTGCTGATTAAAAAAATAATTATGTTATTCACTCTATTTCTATTGACATTCCCCAGAGGATAGTACTGTAATTTAAATGCTTTGTTGAAGAAATAACTTTAACTCTCTTCTGTTTAACTCCTTTAACTCCCAGTACAATACAACACATTTTCGTGACCACGTGGTGCATACAATGAAAAATTTAAAAAAATTTTTCTTGTACTCTAAATTCAAAAATTTTTTACAGATTGTTAATTTATTGCATTTTTTTTAAATTTTCGTTATTGCTCTTGAGATCTAGCAGTTATGAATATTCTGATAAAAAAAACACAACCAATACAATGCATTTTCATGACCAAGTGGTGCATATGGAAAAAAATCAATTAATTAATTTTTAATATTGCCATCATAAATAAAATATGGTTGATACCTTTAATAAATTTTCTGTTTAGCAACATTTTTATTGTCTGTAAATTATTTATTTTTCATTTTAAGATAAGCAACGATGTATTGACTGTAATCGAACTGTATACAAGAAGAAATCAAGTAGAGTTATTAATAAAGGATATCTTGTCCTTGCTAGTGGATGTGAAAGTCTGCATAACATGGAACATTGAAATTATTCTCAAGTTTGATTACCCTGTTATAAATATCATTCAACAATTATTTTTCTATTTCTATTTATTTTTCAGCCTACAACGCTGTTTCACTTGTCTTCATTTTGAGACTGTTTTGAAAATTTGGAATGAATTTATTCAGCTTTTTAAAAATTCAGGTTATTCTTTTTCATCATTCCCAGAATATGAATATTGAACATTCAATAATTTGTCAATAGTTTGGCACACTTTTATTTGTTAAAATTGAGAGAAAATTAGTAGTTAACTTTGGAAGAAAGTTTATTTTAATGTTTTCCGGTTTTGAGAATTTTTGTTAATGTTTGGATCTTGCATCTTTTTTGAAGGTCATATAGTAAACAAACAATTTTGATGTTGTTAATTGATTGAATTTTATATTTAAAAGAATTATGGTGATATGTGGAACATAGTGCTAATGTAGTTTTTTTAATAATGACAAAATAAATTCATTTAGCAATAATATTTTTGTCTGATGACCAAAAATATGGATAATTACAGTAAGTATGCTGAGTATGAAAAAAAATCCTTTGTGTTAACCTGTCTGTTCTACTTTTATTATAGTCTTACTTATTAATGTTTGTAAAAAGTAAAAATCAAAGTATGTACTTTTTTTGCAACAATTTTGGTAATAATGTTCTGAACATCATGCTTAGTTATGCTGTAAGATCTGCCAGATTTGTTGTCATTCTACATTTTTTAATTGTTTCAAAGATTTTTCAACATGAAACGTTCATGGGGGTGTGGAATATGAAGTTATATGGGTTCAAATTTTAGTAAATAATTTGAATGCTAATGAATGTGTAGTTTAAGCAGGGTATATTTATTTCCATTGTTGGTTATCGCATTGATTGAATTGAATGCATCTATAAAATTGTTTTTTTTTTATGTAGAATGAGATTAAATTATTTTGAGAAAAAAAAGTGATAGCAATGAATGAAGCTTTAATAAAAAAATTCTGGAGCATAAAATATAAAATTTCTCTGTGTTATCTTCATGGTAACTTTTAAAATTATAAATTTTAATGTTTCAAATTTGTTCACTCATATCAATGAATTGCTAGTCCAATTTTTCAAAAAAAGCATCATGTTTTATGTATTTTAGATTGCATTTCACAAAATTACTAATGGTTGTTTACATGTCAGGATGCTGGAAACAACTTTTGTAAGGAGTCAATTTTGACATTATGGAATTATTTCTTAAAAAACAATCCAGTGGACAGCTTGCCTGAAAAAGCCAGTATTCAAGTTGTTGTTTTTCTGATGGATACTCAGAATATCTCTATCTCAACAGTCAAAACATCAATGAAAGAAGTGTGGATCTTTTCAATTCGTATTTGTATTTTATACTGTAATACTTTTACATAGTAAATATTGTATTCAATTTAAAAAATTATTCTATATGTAAATACAATGATTACAATAAAAGCAAAACCAGACGCTGGTCAGATGTGCATTGGAATTGCTAAGAACGACAGGAGAACTGTTACTCCTCTTTCCATGTAATTCCGTTTTTATGAGTGAGTGGATGAAGAAAACTAATTGTAAACTGTGCAACAGGGCTTGCGAAGACTTTCCACACAGTTTTCCTGACTGCTCATTCATCTTTCCTGATCTGAATCTCAAGCTATCAATGAAGCTGCATAAGTTTTGTTCTAAAAGTTCCGAGGATTCTTTATTATTTGTTGCTTGGGTTGGTTTCTTTTTATTCATTTTGAATATTTATTTATGCTAAGCCTTATTTTAAATATTGTACAAATTATATCTTTTTTCTGAATTAACTAATGGTTTTTTGTTTTTCAATCACTGCTTAGTCTGAGGATTTCTGCACCAAACAATTATTCACTCAAAGTTATTATCATTTATATTTTTTTGTATTGAAATGAATGGTGCAGATGCTTTTGAGAATTTTGCTTGTCAACTTGAGGAAAATGCTTAGCAACAAAAAGAGAGGTAGTGTGTTGAGTTTATATGAGAAGTACCAAGAATCAAAAAAGCAAGATGCCTAGACTATTTCAAAAGAAAAAGTTAAATGGTAAGAAACATTGCAGAGAGAGCCCAAAAAACACGAGGTACACTGTCGATGAGTATGAGAAGAAATAAATTGGTGTGCTTGTCAAAGAAACTGTGAAGAATGAAAATGCATATGCAAAGTTCATTATAAACTTGTTGTATCTGCTTTTATCATTGGAAATGCAGTTAGTCTCTCTTGAGACAAAATAAACATTAAAGTGCCAATTAATATCGTTCTTTTTCATGTGAAGTGTGGTATTCTTATCCTTTTTGATATTCTGGTAAATCTGGAAGTAAGTGATGCAAAACGAGAATAGTTTTTCTCCTAAAGATTGTTACTTTAATAATTTTTCTCTCAAATACTTAATTGCAATCAATTTAAATTTTTGCAGACGAGAATCTTATGGTTGAACTTACGTTGGTTGTGCGTCATGTCCAATGCCAAGACGTTGAATTATGCTCAGCAACTTTGCGATTTTTTGATACTGCATCCTTTAGAAAAGGTGCTTACAGCTGATTTGTTTGACATCAAATCTGAATTGTAACTTTTTATTCATTTATGATAATCTGTTGTTTAACTTATTTTTAGGTTACGTTTGATGAAAGAAATAAAACTTCAGACCAAGCAGCTGATTTCAGCCTACTTTATTGGAGTTTAGCATGTAATAACTTTTATTCAGTTGTTGAGTTTTTTAGCAAATTTCATGAACTGGATAGGTGTAAAGTTCACAGTATAAATTTCGCTCAGAAATTAATTGAATGTAGGGAGTCAGACCAGTTAGTTTTTGTTTTTATCTCATTTTAATGTTTTGTTAATTTCAAAAGATTAATTTTGTAAATAATCTATTTTGAAATGGATCACATTTTAAAAATGTATTTTCAATGTTTTAAAATTTTATAGCAATGCAGCAAAACAATTGGCAAAAGAGTTTTTTACAAATTGGCAAGAATCAGGGTATGGGTGCATGTACCACTTGCATCATTATTTGCCTTCTATTTTGTATGAACGAATTTCAAACGTGCTCACCACTTCAAATCAAAAGTATGTTCTTTTTTGCAGTTTTGCTCACAGTAATACAATGTTTTTGAAATTCCATGCAAATAAATATTTTGTTATATCCATATTAAATTAAAATATCTATTTTTAAAATCTATTTTTAAATCTGCATTTGCTTTTTTGGCCCTGATCCTTGGAAGTCTCTTTCTAAAAAAATACATTGTGAAGCACGGCTGTTGAACATTGTGAAAATAACTTTTTACAAACTATTTGATTGGTTGAATGATTTTATTTTCATGTGAATGAGAAGTTTAATCTTACTAACATTTTCTAAATCTATCAGCAAGCTAATGCCTCTCGGGCCTCTATGGTGACCACAGTTTCACTTTTTTCTTACATGTCCAGGTTTTTTATTAAAGTTTTTCCAGCTAACGTCAAATGTTTATTAATGATTTTGTTGGAAATTCCTATCAACATTACAACGCAGATTTTTATTAAACATCTGCCTCTCAAAGCTGGCTTGCTCTCATGCTGGTACGCTACCTAACTTGCACGTCTTATAAAGCTCACATTTTATTCTTGTAAGATGTGCACGTTTCTAAAGTTTATCTCCTATGCTTTTCAGTGTATTTTTTCTTTCTCCATGTCTATAAATATTTTTTTAAATTCACCTATTCCAACTTTCAATGCCTTTTTTGCCTACTGTGTGGGATACAAGTTTTTATTCATCTCACTTAGTTATTTCCTTATTTTTGATAAAGTGTGTCCTCTTATCTGCAGCTAAAATGTTTAGAATTGTGATATAGGATGAACAAGACCTTTGTTTTTTTTATTAACTTCAGCCCCTGCTTCATCTTGGATCACCTCCACGTGAACATCAAATATTTTATTTTTTGATTTGTTATTCTTTTAATCACAGAAGTGGTTAATTTATGATCCGCAAAATTTAATTATGATAACCATTCTCGTTGATTTGTTTCAGAAAAAAATTAAAAAAATCTGTTGGAGATAATCAAGAAGTGTCAACATTATTTCAATTGTTAATTCAGCCCATTGAAGAACTTTGCAATGTAGATAATCAATCTCAGCTCGCATCTTGTATTCAGAAATTATTAAGTAATCAAATCCTTCAAGATGATAGCACTGTTCATCAGGATCTCCTCTCTGCTTCTTCAAAAATCAATCAGTTCTATTCCTTCATAGAGGTTACAACATATTCCATGAGCTGTTTGTTTGTAACTAATTATTTGACGAGTTTTGTATGATCAAATTTTATTGAATAATGGTGCTAGGGATAATTTACACAATAAAAATTTGCTAAATTTAATCAGAAAAAACTATTTATAAGTACAAGTTTTTTCAGATTCTTTCTGAATTCACCTTACCCTTCATGGATGAGTATGAAAAGTTTCGAGCACTTTTGGCGTCTTTGAGTCTCTTGTGCGTTTTCTTTCAACATCAACCAACTGCAAAACCTCTGATGGAACAGTGCCTCAACATATTGCACGTAACATGCCTCGACAATAAATGCGCTCACTTACTGTTTAAAATTATTAACCCTTCAATGCTTTTTATTTGGATTCTTCACTGTCATGAACATTTTTATAAGATGCCATATGTAGGTTTTTTTCTTGTTGGTTTGCTTGTTAACACAGTTTGAACTAAATCATGCAATAAATTATTATTATTTGTTGCAGTATAAAAATATTTTAGAGAAATTATTCAAAAGTTTGATGACTCATGCCCTCAAAAGTTCAAAGACCATAAACCAGTTAGCTGGATTTGTCGGAGAGGTTCTAGCTTAATTCATTAATATTTTTTCATTCTGTTTATAGAGTCTTATTTATTATTAAATATTTTTGTGTTTTACTAATATGCTTAATTCACTTTTTTTATTTTATAAAAGATAGTACTAAATTTAACTTAAATTCATTTATTTATCTCAGGTTGAATCTTTAGTAAATAAAAGCAATGTAAATCGACATTCAGCTCTTGAAACTTTAGTTTGGGCGATTTCTTTGATTGACAAGGTTTTATTTTGTTGTTTTTGTGTTATACAGTTAAAAATGTATTTCATTAAACCATTAAACATTTAGGCTAAACAGATTATTTAATAATTTTTTTTTCATTTACCTGGTAGACTTTAATGCAACGATATGTCAAAAAAGATTGTCTAACTCTACTGAAAAGATTGAAAATTAGGTTACTTAATAAAGCACTACCTAAGACTCATCAATTTTATCAGAAGATAGCTGAGTTGGACATTGTGAAAGATAAAACGAAGAATCATAACAGTGCAAAGAAAAACCAAAATAATGATGGTGATAACATGGTTGTTGTTGATGATGATGAGTACATCACTTATTTTCAAATATTAGATTGTTTCATTAGACAAAGAAAAATAAACGACAATAAGTTTAAGGGTGATGGCGATGATGAAGATGATATAGGTCGTGGTGATAATGCAGATAAGGAGGATGATAACAAGGAGGAATTTGTATTGTTTGGAGCTAAAGAGCTACTTCTTTTCTTTAAATGTGCACTCAACAACATCAAGTCTTCTAAGGTTTGTTTAATTTTTATTTACTTTAATAGTTTGTTGAGTAATGTAGGCTTTACTAATTTGGCAGAATGCTCAAGTTGTTTCGTCATCTATTGTTCTTGTAAAAGAAATCGTCAGTGGATTTAGAGATGGAAGTACAGTTTTAGAGCAGTCTCTTCAAAAAGAAGACAACCAACATGATAATACATTTATGGGATTAAACCCTGACAAATATTTAATGACGGCCTGGGAAATTACAACAGCAAAACTTAAAATAGAAATTGCCAATAGAAGAAAGCTCAATTCGAGTTTTTCCATACTACCTTCATCAAAAGCAGAAAAAAAACATGTTCACCAACAATTTTCAAAAGACCAGAATCAAAAGAATAATAATGCGGTAGATCTGATTGACTTGGGTGGTTTGCTGCTGTGTGTGCTGCCTCAAGATCTGTTGGATGTCGCATTGAAGGAAATTTTTGAATCTTTAGTATGCATTTTTTCAATCTTTTTGTCCATTTGTAATATCGGCATTCCCCGATCTCGGGGAAAATGTCGTCTAAACGTGTGTTTGTTTGTGTTTGTCCATTTGTAATAATTTTTACGGTATTCATTTCTAAGTTTTGTATTTTATGTTATTTATTATTACTTCATTGCTTAGGAACCATCAATTACTTCGTCTTCACCTGAATGGATCGATGTTGAATGTTATTTACTGATTTGGCAGCAATTATTTCAAATATCTCATTGGTCCAACAGTCATCTGGAAGGCATTTTCTATTTCACGTCACAACGAGTTATTAATTTTTCATTATTTTTTAACAAAACAGAATTTAAAGCAGTGTACTTTAATATTTTAGACATTTAATTATTTTTTCTTTATGTTAAAATACGCAGATTTTGATATCGATCACAACTTTGTTACAAAATTGTACAGAAGCAGCCCTGAATACTCTAATGTTGAACACATTAACCACTTATATTGCACAGGGACAGGTAAACAATGGTTTTTATTTTCTTCAATCTACTAAGGCCTAAACTTTTATGAAATTTATTTGTACATACCAAGTTTTCATTTTTAAAACGTAAAATTATTTGTCGGTCAGTGTAACGCATTCATTGAAAATACGAAAATGTTTAATGCATTTCCTCATCTTTTTAAGGATTTCCTAACAAATCAAGATGTTTCTCTGCTTTTTCATGCGACATCTACAGTCGATCTTGAGTTGTATCCAACAAAGCTTACTACTGAGATCAATGTCGTTGAGCACATATCGAATTTTCTTGATTTGTTCAAGGCCTATCATTCCGTTCTCAATGCACTTTTGTCTCATCATACGACTTCTGTTTATTCTATGATCCCTAATTTCATGTATGGAGTCAAAAGTTTGTTTTTAGCTTGTGTATTTGAATATATTTGGATAAAATTGAATATTTGGTTATATAATTCTCCCAAAGAACTGTTACAAGCATGCATGTGGGCTGGGCAGCAATCACAATCTACTCTTGGTCTGTCACAGCTCAACCAAATTGAAATGTCAGCCCTCCTTGTTGCTAGGTAGATTAATTTTTCACAATTATATTTTTATATTAATTAAATTAAATTATTAATTTAATTGAAATAAATTTCATCAATTTACTGTTAGACAGTATAACTTATTAGATCATAAAGATTTTCAAGGCTTCAAGGCTCAACTTTTAATTGTGATTAAATAATTATCTGATGTTTTCATTTTTGCTACCTTCATGTCTAATGTCACTTGCTATTTTTTTGTTGATAAATTCATCTTGTGAGGACCATCAAAATTTTAACATTTTTCAGTTATCTACTGCTCGAATTGTTCATTTTAACACCATTTCTGTAACTTGCATCTCAAAAATGCATTGTAATTCAATTTTTTTAGTAAAGGAATGCTCCTCCGACTTTCTGTCAATCCATTTTTTACTATTTTAGTTATTGTCTCAGCAAACTAAACCAAATTATGAATACATGTCACTTACCTACATACAACATGTCAACATACCTAGTTCATTTTTTATTATTGATGTAAATTCTCCATCAAACAACCAAGTTATGATATATGCATGCATATATACTGTAATATATACTAACATAACAAACCTGCATGTTATAAAGAAATGCAGAAATATTGTTTATATGAATTATATTTCACTCTTTAATAAAGATTAGCCAATTTGATGTCAGAGCACAAATTAAATTTCAACAAAGTTGTTCATTATGTTGTTGCCGAGTTTGTAGATTGCTTGCAAAGAGTCGTTCTCTACCCTAGCATTAAGGTTGGTTTATTTAGCTTGGTTACTTAACTTTTTGCCACGTTTTCTAAAATCTTCACAATGTTAAGTTTGTCACCACTAGTGATCACGACATTTTAAATTGACAAATGCAATGTTTTCTAATGTCTAGAATGATCAAACGCTCGAGTGTAAATTTTTTTTCAGAAGGCTTTGTTGCAAGCTATCTACAGATGGTTGGATATGTGCAACGAGTACACTACAGCACAGTTACACAGTACATTATCTCCCGGTGCAAGGGAAATCTTCAAATCCCTTTACGGTGACTACCAAAATTATCACAAGTTAAAAGGAAAAAATTAATTTATACGTTGTATATTTATGTATTGCATGCAGTAACAGATGCATTTATATTACTATGTGTTGTAGATGAACATTAAACAGAGGTTAAACGTTTAAAATTATTTCATGTGCCTCCTCCACATCATGCACAAAATGTATCGACTAAACTAGGTTATCTCACCGTCTTATTAGAATTTATTTTAAATTGTGTATATATATATATATATATATAATCGTACGTGCTGGTTTTTGTTTGTATGTATACTATATATATATATATATATATATATATATATATATATATATATATATATCAATCAATCAATCTTCGTTTTTCGTCC